CGGGCCCGCCCGCCATGGCGGAGGTCGGCCGGCAGCACCTGTTGCTGCCTTCGCGGCTGTTGGAGCTGTGCGCGCTGCTGGGCGCCCCCCCAGACTGCCTCCGCTGCCTGGAGCAGGTAAGGGCGGGCGGGGAAACTGAGGCGGAGCACCGGCTTAGCCGGGGAGCGGGGCCAGGCCTCACGTGCATCCCAAGTGGGTGTCCCAGTGCCCGGCGGGGCTGGCGCGTGCTTTCCACAGCTGTGCCCCGGCCCTCCGCGCCCCAGGCGTTCCCGACCTTGCGCGGGCGGGTGCATCCCAGCCAGACTGCCTGGAGCAGGTAAGGGCGGGCGGGGAAACTGAGGCGGAGCACCGGCTTAGCCGGGGAGCGGGGCCAGGCCTCACGTGCATCCCAAGTGGGTGTCCCAGTGCCCGGCGGGGCTGGCGCGTGCTTTCCACAGCTGTGCCCCGGCCCTCCGCGCCCCAGGCGTTCCCGACCTTGCGCGGGCGGGTGCATCCCAGCCAGAACACCCGACTGCCCTGGGCCGGGACCCCGCACGCCTACTTGGGTGAGGCAGGGAGCCTGAGGCCAGCGCGGGTGCCTTTAGCCTGCCGGGTGCGGAGACCAGCAACTGTTCACCCAGTGATGCCGAATGGGGCGCTCCTTCCCTCCCCTCCCCAAGACAGAGCCTCTGGGGACGAGGCCAGCTGGGGTTTACACCTAGTGATTATCGTGATGCAAAAGAGCTTGAGTCGAGTCGGTTGGAGTGTTTCCTCCCTGAGTGAGTCCTTTTCCCTCCCTGGACTTTTTCTTCAGGGTACCCCCACCTCAGCAAAGTGCTAAGATGTGGAGAGCGGCACAAACCCGCCAGGCGGAGCCTCCCAGAGTGCACGGTCCACTGGACCGAATCCCCGTCATTACACAGTGAAGTTACTTGACTCGTGGCACAAGCATGTCTTGTCTGCCGGGTAGTGAGTTCTGTTCTAGGCATGGATTGAGAGTTTAGACTGAGCTCTAGCCTCTGGCTTTGCATGTTGTGCATGACAGATTCCAGCTGTCTTCCGTGCTTGTGGCAACTGGCCCCTCCGTCTGTGCACCCTAGCAGCCAGTGACCAGTTAGTTCATTTCTCTTTCTCTTTGGGAAAGCAGCAATTTTGGGGATTCTCTGTTTGTTTTTTTTCCTCATGTCTTGGTTTCTTCATCTGGGAGGCTGGCATTCTCCTGAACCTTCTGTGGCGCTTTTTCCATTGGCCCAGGGCATCTGCAAAACTGTGTCTATGTCATTTTCCCTAGGGATTTACCCACCCTGCTAGCCCTGTTCTGCCCTGCGGATGCCGGGGCAGACTTTTCATCTCTTCCCTTATGCCAACACTGCAGAGAGGCATTTGAGCATTTAGATAATGTGTACAGGCCAGTCCTTGGCGTGGTGGTTAAAGCATATGGATCCCACATGGCCAACCGCACAGTTCGAATCCTGGACATGGTGGCTTGAAAACCATGTTGGGTACGTGTGCCCAAAACCCCTGGAGGAGAATTGAGAAGGGATTGTAGTGTAGTTATCCCCCTTGGGCTCCTTTCTCACTTTTTGTCCCTCTCCTTCTACAAGTGCATGCACCCGCTAGCAAATAAACTAATAAAATAGGGACACCTGACCAGCCAGGGAAAATGAAGAATGTAGGGCCGAATGGATGTCATAAAAAGTGAAATATTATTCAGACTTGCTGGAAGAACGTTGGGGTTTCTACTGCTGGGCTGCAAGGAAGTGCCAGCTCTGACTTGAGCAAAGGGTGTCATTCTGTACATTAGTGATTCTGCGTGTCCCTGCCACCTCGCATGCTTCTGGACTCCCAGCTGTCAGGGTACCCTCTGGATTTTTGCCTCCTGCACCCTCGCCAGTCGACTTGAGTTTCTGCAGCAGCTCTAACTGGCCGATGATGTGCCTGTTTCTTCAGATAGTTTCGGTTGTGGTCCTCGTAGCGGTTCCCTCTCTGGCTCGAGACCATTGCAACATCTCTGTTGGCTGCTCAGTGTGAGATGTGTCTTTTGAGAGCAGGATGAATCAGCCGGAATATTTACAGAGGTACTTTCCTGAGCTCAACAGGATGCAGTGCTGTCCGAGGGCAAGTGAGAAGTGTGGGCAGTTTGCTGCTCTGCATTTGAACTTTTGTCCTCTGATGCTGCGGGGGGTGGGGGGCGTTGCAAAGGGTGGAGAGAAAAATACTCAAGGATTAGGAAAAACAGAGTTTTCCTAGGAGATGGGCTACACTTCCTGGAGAGAGATACTTTTCTTTTTGGAGAGGCTTTTGCTATAGGGCATGTGCACTTTGCCAGAAAGACAGACAGAGAAAGAGAGACAGAAAGCGAGAAATCACCTCCCAGGGGGGATGGCCATGCCGCAATCCGTTCTCCTCTCAGGATCTTGGGCATGCATGCACACGCCCGTCATGAGTTTAAGCCACCAGGTCCGGGACTTGAACTGCGATCAACTACATGGGAGTCCAGCAGCATAGCCATTATGCTAACTGCTGGTCCCGAGATCTACTTTTAAGTCAACATCAGTGTTAACAATTAGCCAAACTTAAACGGTTTTATTTTTGTAGCAGTTCTTCAAATGTTCAAGACTTTTTTTGTTTGTTTGTTTGGTTTTTTTTTTGGTGCTCTACACAATCAGAAATTTCTCTAGTAACGAATTATAGAAACGATCCCTGAAAGTATTATCTTAAGACTTTTTTAAAAAGTATACTTATGTATTTATTCAGAGAGAGGGAGACGGGCATCCCAGCAGGGCCTTGCTGCGATCCATCCCAGCTTCAGCCCGCCCGGATCGCTGGTATGCTTGCCTGGCCCACGAGGGAGTCTGCAGTCCACACGCCTCGCTGTGTGGGGCCGGCTGTATCACCCTGTACCACCCACTGGCCCTGTCCAAGACTTTTAAATTAACCATTAAAAAGTTTACTTTTCCTAGTCGCCGCTTCTCTTTGGTTCAGGCATTCCTGTTGACACATGCACACAGAAGCCCAGAGGTATGAGAAGTGTCAGCTTCGTGTCGCAGTGAGTGCAGGGCCTCCGTTTTTGCTGTGTCTTACCTGAAGGGCAGTGTTTGTTTCTTTGGGAATGGTGACAAAGCTTTCAGGAATGTTGGTTACTGAGGTGAGTCCTCTCTCCCTCCACTTCTTGGCTGTACAGATCCTCATTGCTGGCTGCTGTGGAGACTAGACATGCGGTGTGGAGGGATCCACAGTAAACCCATTACAGAGCGGTGGACGGTGCTCAGAGAGCCTCCCTGGCAAGGTCCCCACAGGGTGCATGTGCGAAGGTACACTTGAGGGCTCTGGTGGAGAGCATCCCGCCTTTCGATTTCTGGAGCACGACTCTTCAACAGAACTTTCTGGATGAGTGCAGTCCGGTCTGTGTGCACTGAGCACAACCGTACCGGCCATGTATGGCCCCCGAGCGCGTGACGTGGGCTGGCGCAGCCGAGGGACTGGGCGGCAGGCTGCCTTCATGTAGATGTGGGTTCCTGCGGCCACCTTTGGCCGGCGGGGGCCCCCCTGTGCCTGCCGCTGCTGTGGGGGCACCACCGTCTGGGGGGCCATGGCCTGGCTTGCCGGAGAGGGCGGCTGGGCCCCAGGCAGCAGACTGCGTGGCTCTTTTCCTGGACTTGGCGTGCCCAGATCCCCAAAGGAGAGAGATGGAGAAGGGATTGAGGCAGGACTGTCCCCCACGGGGTGCTTTCTCGCTGGTCCTTTTTCTGTCTCTCTCTCCCAGAGAAATGGAGGAGGGGTCTGAGTGGTCACACCCATGGGGGTGCTTTCTCCCTCTGTCTCTGTCGTTCCGGCAAGATCACATGCATGCCAGCTGGCCAGAAAGCCCCGTCACTGAGGGAATGGCAGAGTGTACTGGTGTGGGTGTGGCGACCAGTCCGCTGAAGGCCAGGCCAAGTGTGCTAAGGGCACCCCATGCCAGGAGTGGAGGGGAAGGTCACCTGAGAGTCTGCTTTTGTGCTAAATGGGGTGTTGCAGGGGAAGGCAGCACACTGTGCCTCACCCCACCCCCCCAGGGCAGGCAGCACAGTCCCACTGCCAGGGCAGGGCTGCCCCAGGAGATGGTGGGCGGGGTGGGGGTCCTGGGAGGGCTGCCCCAGGAGAGGGTGGGCAGGAGGGGGTCCTGGGAGAGCCGCCCCAGGAGAGGGTGGGCAGGAGGTGGTCCTGGGAGGGCTCTTCATCCTGGCTGCAGAGTGGGAAGGAACCTCCCCATGGGCACGAGTCCCAGCCCCGAGCAGCGGAGTGCACAGGAGAGCGCAGGCTGCTTGGAAACCCTGAGCCTGAGGACACCGCGATGCCCCGTAGGAAGGCAGTGGGAGACAGTCCGAACAGTCCGGGACAGAACAGGAGGCTGAGCTGGGGCTGTCTGCAGGGAGTATGGAGGGAACCATGGGGGTGACCAGACCAGGGCCAAGCAGAAAGGAGAAGAGGGTCTGCAGGGGCGGGGCCGCCGCAGTCAGGGGAGGGGACAGAGTGGGGGCACTGCAGGAGAAGGAGCCAGTGCCGGCGCTGCTCTTGGCACTGTGGCTCCGTCAGCACGTAGCTCTAGCACGGCCTGCCTCTCTGCCCGGGCCGTCTTCACCCTTCTCACGGTGGAAACATGCAGTCTAGCCGTCCCTTTGAGGAAGGAGCGACGAGCAGGTTGTCGCAGGGCATGGGCTCCGAACCAGCAGTTTTGGTCTGCCCGAGAGGAGGTTCCGGAGGGCGTGTCATGGACCTGCCGGCAGATCCCTTTCATGTTGGGATGTGACAGGTTTCCAAACCGCTGTCAGATTCCCCACGTCCGGTTTGGGCCCCACTGCAGTAAGTCTTCCCCACGGGTAAGACATTGCCAGCTGGATTGTACCCTGCAGTGCTCCCGTAACCGCGCTAGGATGAGGCAGCACTTACGGGCTGGGCACTGTCACCGGGTAAGTCCCCACGAGTGCAGAAGCTCCGCTTTAGGGACTGCTGATCGCTGGACTTTACTTATTTTTTATAGTTTTTGGGCTGCTATAGGGTGCGTGTTCTCACTGGAGGAGCTGAGACCAGCCTGGCCGCAGTGCTCGGCCCTAGCGTGCGGCGGGACTGCGCCAGTGCTGCTGCTAGGCGGGAGGGGACAGGAGACCCTGCACGTGGTCCTGAGCTCACTGTGGGCAAGAATGGAAAGAGAAAAGGTTAAAAACGAAATAAAGCTTTGCCAGGTGAATGTTTAAGAGAGTCCGGGCCAAGATCCCCGTATGTATCGACTCCAAAGGACCTTCTGGTTGGCAGAGGACGGCGTTTCCCGCCTGCTCCAGCCGGCTCCCTGCCGGTTCTGTCGTCCTAGACAGGCTGTGCCTGCAGACTGAGGGCAAGGCTGTGCTCGAGGTGTTTGACGGTACAGGGAGCCCTTCCCTGGGTCTGTGCCCTCCCCCTCGGCTCCCTCGTCTCTGCACTTGCTCCTCAAAAGGGAAGCTCAGATGGATAAAGGAAGATTCTGCCAGAAGTTCAGGCAGAGCTGGGATTTGAACTCACGGCTTTCGATCACAGCACCAGACTCTGAACTGCGGTGCTTTATGTGGAGGGCGGCAGTTGCTGCTGTCCATATTTTACAGCGGGGGGTGGGGGCGGCTCTGGGAGTTGACGTGACGTGCTGGAACGCAGGGCCTGTGAAGTCCTGAGAGAGATCCCCGAGGCAGCCCTTCCTGTCAGGAGCCTCGGTGGGAAAGCCTCTCGAGCCAGCACCCGAAAGGACAGCACCTGCCACCTCGGGCGGGGGCCCAGGGGAGACCGGGTGATCGGCGAAGGCTCAGGTGGGAGCGACAGCATGGGTTGAGCTGACACTATGGCAGTAACGCCCACGTCTTCCTCTGTAGGTGGCCCAGAGAAAGGGGGGCCAGCAGCCTCCTTCTCTTGTTCCGGAGGTCCTGTCTGTCTTCGTGCCACCGTTCGTCAGCAGAGAGGACAGTCAGATGGCTGCCAGCCATGCCACCCTGGGTAAAACCAGAAGGCGCTCCTTCAGGAAGAAGAGAGAGAAGCCCAAGTCGGAGCAGTGGGAGGGGCCCCCTGGGGACCCCAAAGTGCTGGATTCCGAGGATGTCAACGTCCCGGGCGGCGTGGACCTCCTGGCCCTGCCCCAGCTGTGCTTCCCAGGTACGGGCAGAGCCAGGCGGCTGGGCTTTCTCACCCGGAATGCCATACTAGGGAGAGGGGGCACGAGTGACCCCTCCCGGCCTCTCGTGTTGGACCGTGGATTGTGTGTCGTGAATCTTGGGAATTCTAAGCTAACGGGAAATTTAAGTCATTTACTGTAGTCCCTGGAGGAGAGGCTGCCTGGGCGCTGGGCCTGCAAAGGCGTCGCACTGTGACTCAGTGTGGACTTGGAGCAGTGGCAGGCTGTTACAGAGCCCATGGATGTGCGGCGCTTCCCCACCCCGTTTCCGTCTCATGGGGATGAGGACACAGGCTTACCTTCAGTGTCCGTGCAGCTCCCGAGCAGAGAAACGTGAAAATGGCTGGTGCGGGGATTCAACCTGGGGACAGGGCCCAAGTCCATCCCTAGTCCCCAAGGAGAACTATATGCAGGGAGTGTACATGGGGTGGGCGGGGCGCGAGCCGCTGTGCCCGGGAGGCTCTGCACAGGCGTGCCAGAGGGCGTCTGCTCTGAGCTCTGTGCTATCCCTTGCTCAGCCCCGAGCTCTCTGGGCACAGAGGGGCTGAGAAGGGGTGGCTGCTAGGGGTGGAGCGGAGTGACCGGGAGCTGACACACTGAATGTCAAGGTGCGCGTGGATCCTGGGGGGCTGGTTCTGAATGATGTCAGAACATGGCCTGACGATGAATACCACAGGGCTGATGTGACTCCCTCCTCTGCCCACCCGCAGGGGGCATGTGCGTGTCCTCGGAGCCCAAGGAAGACCGTGTGCACTTCCTGGTGCTGACCGATGTCTGTGGGGACAGGACCTATGGCGTGGTGGCCCAGTACTACCGACCCTTGCACGTAGGTACTCCCGTTTCTGCCTCTGAGGTGGGCGCTTGTATCGCTTCTGCTGAAACCCATGGAACAGGGCTTGCTCTGAGGCCTGGGGCTAAGGCAGCTGGATCCTACGTGGCTGACTGCACAGTTCGAGTCCCAGACCTGGTGCCTTGAGAAGCATGGTTGGGTGTAGGTGCATGTGTACCCAAAATCCCAAAAAGAGGGAGGGAGGAGAGGGATTGTAGGGTGACCATCCCCATGGGGAGTGCCTTCTCCCCCTCCCTCTCTCTCTGTCTCTCTCTGGTGAGTGCACATGCACTCTAGCCATTAAAAAACCCAACTACGTATAACCTAGCATTCACCATTTCAGCTGTGCAAGGGGAGCTGTTGGGTGACAGTAACACACTCACGACGCTGTGCAGCCACTCCCACGGTCTCCTTCCAGAGCGTTCCTGTCACCTCCTGACCCCCACACCTGCTAGCCTTGGCTCCCCACTTCCCCTCTGCAGCTCCTGTCCACGCTGTCTCTGTGAACGTGTCTGTCCTGGAGGGTCCCTGCCGTCGAGTCACAGATGTGGCTTGTGCGCTGACTCCTTTCGCGTAGCCGATGACTTCAGAGGGGTCCACATCATGGCGTGGCCAGTCCTTCCCGTGGCTGCGTGACCCTGTGTGGGGCTAGGCCACACTGTCCCCTCACCCTGACCGACTACTGTGGGTTGCTCCCACTTGGCCTCTTGTGTGAGTTCTTGGGTTCCGACCTGTGAACGCGGGCCAGTACGCTCTGCCTGAGCCAGGCTGTGGTGCTCCTGCAGGGGATGTACCCAGTGGTGCATGTGACCTGCTGCATGCTTCCCGCAGCCAGCGGGGAGCCTCGAGCCTCAGGGCACCCAAGCCCCAGCCCGAAGGCGGGGAGAGGGGCAGCTGCCTAGATGGCGTGCTCCTGCCCGCCACAGACGGGGCAGCTCTTTCTGCTCAGGCAGAGTCGTGTTCACAGGTACTGCAGTGTAGACATGCCCGTCATGGATTCTGTCCCTCTGTACATGGTGGGCCCCAGCGCCCCTTGTGACCGCACAGGAGCAGAATGTACACTCGCCCCTGGGATCCATGACACCAGCGGCTCCAGGATGTGCACAGCCACTGCCCCGCCATTGCCCTGGTCCATGCCTCAGTGTGCTCCAGTCATGCATTCCTTCTGGTCCCGATGGCGCTACTCCTCACCTCTGTCCCCAGCACCAAGGAGGCCCTGCAGACCCCGCCTGGAAGCCCCGCTGCCAGCGCCTTGGCCTCCAAACCTGCGTGGAGTGTGCATGAGTGTTGGCGGGGTGGCTCCCCCGCCATCCTGCCTGCCTTGAAGTGCCCACGGGTGGCGATGGCGCTGGGCCGGGCGGTGCCACGTGGTGACGGGCGGCTGTCTCTGCAGGATGAGCACTGCTTCTACAACGGCAGAGCACACTGGGAGCCGTCCTGGCCGGCCGCCGGCGCCGGCTGCTTCGTGCCCTTCGCGGTGTGTGTGGTCTCCAGGTTCCCCTACTACAACGCCCTCAAGGACTGCCTGTCCTGGTGAGTCGGGTCGGGCGGGGGGCCTGATCGCGGGCGTTGGCCCTGGTCGGCGTGGGCCGATTGGAGCGTGGCAGTGACCACTCGCTCGAAAGCCCGGGTCTCCAGACCGTGATAACGGGTGAAAACTGTAGGCAGAAGGAGGCTAAAGCCAAGCTGTTGGGAGTAGAATGATGGGGATTTGTTTGTTTGTTTGTTTGTTTTAAAGAGACTTGGGGGCCGGCATGTGTTGTGACCAAGGGCCTGGACTCCCACCGGCCAGCTGTGGTTCAAGTTCTGGACCCGGTGGTTTGCTTTCTCACTTCTCCCCTTCCCCCACCGTCTGTCTGTATGTCTCTCTCTGGTGAGCGCATAGCCCTACAGCAAAATTTTAAAAATGGTATTAATAATAAATAAAATTAAATAGATAATTCTTTCTTTTTTTAAAGAATTTTGCTAAATAGAGGTTTTTGCTATAGGATGTGTGTGCTCGCCAGAAAGACAGAGAGAGAAAGAAAGACAGAAAGCTAGAACTCACCCCTCCCCGGGGATGGCCATGCCGCAGTCCCTTCTCTTGGGATTTTGGACATGCATGCACACGTGCTTGGTGTGAGTTTTAAGCCGCTGGGTCTAGGACTTGAACTGTGGTCGACAATGTGTGAGTCCAGCGACCTAATCATTATACCGCCTGCTGGTCCCGACCATGTTCTTTCAGTTTCATGAGGTTATTCCTGGAGTTTGTGCTTGTCTGATGATGGCTGGGGAGGAGGGAGTTGAAGCCTCCCGTGGCCTCACGCTGGAGGCCGCTTCTGGAGACTTGCTGAGCTCAGCCCCGAGACGGGTTCTCTCTAAGGCAGCCATTCGAGACCGCCCACCTGGGCCAGCCTGGGGGGGGAGCTGGAATGGACGTCGAGTGAAGGACCTTCACGTTTAAATCCTAGCACTTTATCGCCCTAGCTTTGAAAGGATTACTGGGTTTGGGACACAGCTTGGGTCTAACCTCCATCTTACTGCCATTTACATAAAATATCTTTATATATTTTTAAAATAATTATTTATTTATTAATAATTTTATTTATTATTATGATTTAATTTGCTATAGGGCACACACGCTCATAGAGAGAGAGGCGGAAAGTGAGAGAGCAAGCCACCAGGTCTGGGACTCGAACCTAAGTCAGCCATGTGGGAGTCCAGCGCTTTAACCACCACGTCATCTGCTGGTCCTTGTATTACTAAGACCCAGCTTGGTCTTAGCCAGTGGCGAGTGAATTGAACACACGGACATTTGTCCAATACGTGTCTGCCCGCGCCCGGAGGGTGCCAGAGTGCTGAAGCAGGACACGGTCCCTCTATTTAGTAACTGATAATGAGCTTCTAAACTCACCTCTTCCACAAAGTGAGGGTGGTCATTGCACGTCACGCCGTGAAACAAGTGGTGAGGGCTGGCAGAGTCCACCGTTGGCAGCCAGGCAGCAGCAAGGTGGCGTTGTCTACACTGCCTGGTTTTGTGATGTGTGTTTATTCGGTAGTTGGTATTTTCTACAAGTGTCTTCCTCTTAGATGTTAATGAAAACATATTTAACTCTAAAAAGTTCCTTTTTATGCTTCTTAGGTTCTCTGTCTTTTTCAGCAGTCAGTCCTACATCATCAAACTAGAAAATAAAGCTACAGAGCAACAAACAGCAGAAGTTCAGGGCCAGTAGGTGGCGTGGTGGTTAAGGCACTGGACTCCCTCATGACTGCCATGGTTTGAGTCCTGGACCTGATGGCTTTCCTTCTCACTTTCCCTTTATCTCTCTCTCTCTTTCTCTGGTGAGCTCATGTGCCCTATAATAAATTTAAAAATAATAATAAAAAATAAAATAAATAATTTAAAAAATGAAATTCAGAGTGTACTCTGTCCATATGAATTTGTATTTTAAACAATCTGTTTTTCTGCTAGAGTGATAATATGTGAGATACACCTCTATTTGCACAGAGATTGAGGAAGAACGTATTAAATTATGTTTGGGGAAGTAGGTTATGGGCAGATTTATTTTTTCTTTTAAAAACACTCTTCCGGGGGTGGCATGTGGTGTGGTGGTTAAGGGAGCAGGACTCCCACATGACTGACCACGGATTGAATCCTGGATCTGGCGGCTTGCTTTCTCATGTTCTCTCTCTCTCTCTCCCTCCCATTCTGGTCAAATAAAAATAAGTAGATAAATAAATAAATAAAAGTTAAATAATTCTTTAAAAAATGTTTAAGGGATCAACAGAGGGCCTAATGGTTACATTGCTGGACTCACACGTAGTCAACTGTGGTTCGAGACTGGGACCTGGTGGCTTAAACCTCACGCCCAAAATCCCAAGAAGAGAACAAAGGAGAAGGGATTGCGGCATGGCCATCCCTCCTGGGGGGTGATTTCTTGCTTTCTGCCTCTCTGGCAAGTGCACGCTCCCTATAGCAAAAAAATCTCTCTTAAAAAAAAATAAGGGGGAACCAACAGTTAGTGAAATGGCTGTGTCGCTGGACTCCCACGTAGTCGACCCTGGTTTGGGTCCCGGGCCCGGTGGCTTAAATCTCACGCCGGGCGCGTGTGCGTGCGTGCCCAAGATCCCGAGAGGAGAATGGAGGAGAAGGGATTGCGGCGT